CACACACACACACACACACACACAAATTATGGTGTCTTGCACAAACAGAATAAGCATGAAGATAAGTTATACTTACAGTGGAAAGACAGCATGCAAAAATCAAGAAAAGGCATGTCACAATTGGGGGATGGTTTGAAAGTGAAAAGAGAAAGATGAAAGATGGTTAGAATAAGAACAGCTGACATTGACCATTTTCACAAATAGAGACACATTATCTTATCGATTGTCTTTGGTTTCCTCAGCAAGACATCTGGTTGTCACACAAGTGTCAAGCCATAAATAATTCAAACACAGTATGTCATTTGATTGAATAAAAGCTTAATCAAAAAGCCTTCAACTGATGTTAGTGAAAATGGCAGTATCAGGTCATGCTGTAAGGACGGTACGTCTATGCGGAATACTAACCTTGCAATAGTGTCGAGCTAGTAGGTTCGATTACCACTACAAAGAGGGGAACAAATCAAGCACAACAACACATCGGAAACAGACAGACACTTTTTGGAAAAAGAATTTCACCCACCACACTTCTGCATTATGGTTGCTAAGATACATCAGTGCTCATTTTTTATAATTGTCGAAGAATACATCAGTAAACGTGGTGGATAACAAAAATGTGATTTTTTTTTTTAAATTCCTTTAATTAAAAAAATGTATTTACATACATTTTCCAGAAATTGCAACGTTAAAGCTCACACATTTTTTATCGTTTCTAAATTTCCTTCTATATTTTTTTTGTCCTATTTTTTTTCCCGTTTTAATGCTCTCACCAACATGGAATCATGATCAGTTGAAGATTTTTTTTTGTTAGTGCAGTAAAAATGTATATTTGGGCAAAAAAGGCAAAGCACACAGATTACCAGAAAAACGTGTCCGTAAGACCTAGTGCTTCGTGTATGCTAGGCTCACAAGTTGCGGTGTTCTTCCGGCTTCTCGATCTGTGACGTGGTTGCGTCGGCGCTGATTTGTTGAAACCAAAAACCACGCGCGCGTACGTGTTCGCGCCTACGCGCACACAGCCGAGAGCAGCGGACTATCAACTGCTGAGGCGCGCTTCACTCGAGTGGCGTTACGACAGATAGATAGCATGCTAGCTAGCTAGCAAACAACTTTCAAACTACAACTTTTGAAATAGTGATACCCAAACCCAAATTGTTATTGAAAAACCTCTGGAGCCTAAAGTGTTGAGCAGGAGGAAAGGGGGACAGAGATTTTACGAGCTACCTTTGGTGACCAGTAATAAAAAAAAATTAAAAATAATAAATATAGTCTGTGTGTGCCTCAGCAGTTGCCATACAACTGCTGCAAATGAAATATAGTGACAGTGAGATACAGTGAATCCCCCAGGAGATCTGCAGTAAAAGTGTTGATTCCGCAGAGAACTATTCTAATTGTGTGGAGACCAAATCTTGATTCTGCAGCTTGAAAGTTGATGTTCCACCAGCAGTAAAGCTACCTAAAATTACCAGTTATAAAGCAAATGAATGTACTACTTAAGTGAAATTTATTTTCGGAAATTATCTGCAAAAAAACAAATCACTGTGGAACAGTATGGTTATAAATTAATCAACATCAGTGTTCTTTTTGTCCCTCTGGGGCAAATTTATTTTATATTAAAAACCCTCATGCCCTGCAGGTACATTTTTCACACGTTGGGTATGCTCTATCAAAGAGAGAGCATTGAAAAGTAAACACTAGGGAGCTCAAATTTCCCACAGGACGCTCAAAATGGTATTGTGGTGTGATTTATATGTCATTGCATTTGGGAGCAAACCAAATAGGATCTACGAAACGAGCGATGTACATTACCTGGACGTATAGACATCCATTATAATTCATAATCTTTGATCAATCATAAACCTGGTGTATTTCAATGCATTTCCCGGGATTTTTGTATTTTTCTCTTCAGTGCCGTGGAGCCAATTGTATGCGGAATAACATTTTTTTTTTTGAGTGTTGACACCACTATACCAGTTGATGGCGCCAAAGACCAAGTAATAATTTTGCCTGCAAACCGCTGACCGCAGTCCCTTGAAGCTTGAATGCGATTGCTGGTATTTGACACTGTGTGGCACTCACCGCACGAACGCGACAATTGTTTTGCATTGGTTTGCAGATGTTTCGGTTTCATTCGGTACCGAATTGCAGAAGTTTTTGCAGAAACTTCTGCAGAAACTTGTGCAATGCAATGCAAAACAATTGTCGCGCGCGTACTTTGATGTTGCAAAATAAAGTGTCGTGAACTTGAACTTGTGTGTGATTCAAAGCAACGGGCGCTGCTTCTGTCACGTTTCGGACAAGCCGAATCAAGTTTGGATCCCAAAAGGTGGAGACGTCAACAAGGTCTCCGTAGCAAAAATGTTTTAATACAAAAAATCGCACCGACAAAGAAGTAACAAAAAGCGCTTGCCCAAAAGGCAAGGGGTGAAAACAAGAACCGAGAATGCAAACGAAAAAACTATGTAACAAAGTACATGCAAGTAAAAGCCGAATCACAAAATAAAAACCATACAAGATCAATAGTACCGAGAGTATCAAAAGCGAAAAACGACGAGGTCTATAGCAAAAGGGTCTATGAGCATAGAGACAGCAAGGCATAAACAATACTCTGACAACAGGTGAACCGCAGAAGAATCCTTAAATACAGAGTCCCATATTGAATGGATTGGCAGCAGGTGTGCACGTAGAAGTCCGCTCATGCCACCTCCTGGCCAGACCAAAAACAGTACCGTGACAGCTTCTAAGGTAAAGATATTAAGAAAAAAAAAGCCGTGCGAATGGCAGATAAATCAAATCACTCCGGCGGGCGCTGCTTCAAAGGTAAACAAGTAAACAAGCCGTGGGAAAGGCAGATACTTCAAATCAAAATTTGTTCGATTCTCAACTAATATTGGTCGGAGAAATGTATATAAGGGGCTGGGTAGTTGACCCAGCGACCATTACCTACCAACAGACTTGTGCAGGATGGAAAGGAGAATTTCAGTTGACGAAGCAAGACGTTTGCTTCTGGAAGGAACATCCGAACCGGAGGATTTTTTTTCCTCCGACACCTCGGATTATTCCGATGAGGATTTTGTTCTGCATTGCTCGGCAGAAGGGGTACAAAGTGATGATTCTGACGACGACGAAACCGGTGATGATGAGGAGGAAGAGGAAATGCAGGAGGAGCTGGATGACGAGCATCCGCAAGATGTGGGAGAAGACGTGAGTGGAGAAAATATTTGGCTATCTAAAAATAAAAAAACTCATGTGGTCTTCATCGCACGAAGTGGCCGGCCAATTTGTGCCTCCGACGCTGCCCAACCCCGGGCCAACTTCTTATGCCATTGCCCGCACGAGTAGCCCCATCGACGCTTTCAATTTGTTTTTTCCCCGACGAAATGATTGACCATATCGTCGCAATGACAAATTTGCAAGGACAGCGAACGATTGTGCGCTGGACCACCATAACAGCACAGCAACTCCGTGCATACCTAGGGCTTCTCATCTGAGCTGGGATGTACAAATCGAAGGACGAGTCCACAATGAGCCTGTGGGACAAAGAACTGAGTCGTCCGATGTTCACCGCCACGATGTCCGCTTTCAAGTTTAGCCTCATCAACAGAGCTCTTCAATTCGACGACAAGTTGCACCGGCCACGACGGCATCCTCTCAGCAAGCTTGCACCGATCGAGGATGTCTGGACGAAGTGGAACACTCGCCTGCAATTTATGTATTATCCCGGCAGGGACATCTGCGTCGACGAGCAGCTAGTCTCGTTTCGGGGCCGCTGCTCGTTCAAACAGTACCTCCCGAGCAAGCCTGCGAAATACGGGCTGAAAGTGTGGGCAGCGTGTGATGTAGCCACCTCCTACGCTTTGAATTTGGAGGTGTACACCGGGAAGGCTCCAGGGGCTCAGCGCAACTTAAGCGTTGGAATGGGAGTGGTGCTGCGACTCTGCAGTAATCTAAACGGCCACACCGTGACAACGGACAATTTTTTTACATCGTTCCCCCTGGCTGCGGAGTTGAAAAAAAAAAGGATCACCTTGGTGGGCACTCTCCGAAAAAATAAAGGGAAACTTCCACCATTGCTCCTGAGGTCATTCACCAGGCAGCCACTTTCAAGGTGAGTTTTATGTTGTATTATCATCGAAACTTTGTGCTGCATTTTTACGTGTAAAAAGCGCTATATGAATAAACTTTTATTTTATTTGTTTTCATTCAGCCTATTTGCCTTCACAAAGGGGTGCACTTTGGTATCGTACATCCCCAAAAAAGGCAAAATTGTGCTCCTTATGAGCACAAAGCACCATGATCCAGAGGTGGTGGAGGGAGAGAGACACAAACCAAGGATGATCCTCGACTACAACAGCAGCAAGGGAGTGGTGGATCACCTGGACCAGGTAAACGTAAGTACATGTACTGTCTTTTTCAAAGATTTATTTCAAAGCTGATAAATCACACTTTCAGCTCCAGGCTTAACTAAATCTGTTCCTCTTCTCTCTTTTCTCTAGCTCACCTTGAGGTATTTAAAATTCACTTTCAACACATCCTTTAAATATTACTCTTCATGCATTTGATATGAATATCAAATTCAGTATAAGCGAATTCACAGTCGATTTGAATACCAGACAAGATACATTTCTTATGAAAAGTTATGAGAAAATCCAATGAAATTGCAAAACATTTGTTGCGTCCCAAAAATAAATACCGTATTTTCCACACTATAAGGCACATCTAAAAGCATTCATTTTTCTCAAAAGCCTACAGTGCGCCTTATGAGCCGATGCGCCTTATATGTGGATAATATTTGGATTTCTTGGACATTGTATTTTAAATGTTTAAATGTATTTTAAATGTTCTGTAAAGTGCTTTGTTACTACTGCAGCAGTTGTGAAGACTCGACATGAATTAAGCTGTATTGTATTGTATTGCATTCCCTTTAGTGTAGCTCTCTAGCGGATGCCTAACGCAAACGCAGCCACTCCTGTTGCTATTCTATGTGCCTTATATTGCGGTGCACCCTATATCTTAAAACAGCTTTAAAATAGGTCATTCATTGAAGGTGCGCCTGATACTCCGAAGCGCCTTATGTTGCGGAAAATACGGTAATTCAAAGAGAAAAAGACAACTGTCTAAAATTAGATCACATGTATGGGATAACATCACAACAGAGCAACTTTGTGGACTGCTGTGCATCAGTACGTTTGCAGATTTTGAAAAAAACAAATGTCATTTTTGCTCAAACGTTCAAAACTTGGTGAAATCCATTCCTCTTCAAAATTTGAGCAGAAAGGGCAGAAACAGTATGGTGAGGAGGTAGGTGTCCAAGTGCGCACCCAGTGCAGATCCACTGCCATCCTGAACTGCTCTCGATCCTGAGAGGCGGACAGCACAAAGAGTGAGTTAAAAAAAAAAAAAAAACACTTGTACTTCCAGTGTGGTCCTGAAATATGTCAACAGTGGTATACCGTGTCCACACGTAACTTTAACCCTTTCATGCACCAATAATGATAACCTGTAACCTGATAGGCTGTCCATTGTGGTAACCGCTGTCCCTGAAAGGGTTAAGATAATTGTCATTTAAGTCGTCCAAGGCTGAAATTTGTGTTTACACAGAAGAAAAATATGTGCAATTCCGTTCTCACTGATTTCATAAGATGCAGTTCACATCCTCAAATGGATTTTTGGAGCATGCGGACAAGGAAGAGATGTCAGCATGAAGGTTTTTTTTTTCAACCACTACATGGGGTGGTGGTGTCTTGTTTTAGAACACCTTGACAAGATTTCATTCATTTATTTCATTTTTGGCATGCAGTGTCAATTTCAGCGGGCGGCGGTCCCCGAGCCCCAGCCACTGTCAGACCAAACGCAAAACAATTGCATATTTGCGCTATAAAACTAAATGTGATTTGCATTCTAAAATTATTATTGAGTGTGAGGTCTCACAAATTGTTGTGTGGTTTTGTTATTTTGCATCCCATTGTGATTCGCTTTGATAATTGTAATTTTAAGAGCTTGTGGAAAATACATCATTCAAAATGTGTGTATTTTTTTCCACATAAATTATAATTTTATATGACAGATACTTTGAACACTACAGCAGAAATCACAAATATTTTTTGTAAAATATCAAGATTATTATTTGATAAATATACACAAAGCACTTGCAAATGGCAAGGAGACTAAATAACGAAATGTGACTCATACCCCTTTCCCACTGAATTTAGTGGGTAGTAGTGATCCATGGCGACACGCAACCAATTTGGCATATTGTCCCTTTCCCATTGACCAACAGAAGGCGATTCTGCGCCTCCGCCCCCTCCTTCCACCACTTTGCGTCTCGTTACGTCACCACGCTGTGATTGCGTAGATGATAGTGCAAAGCAACAACAAAGCAACATGGCAGCGAGTGTTCTTTCTTTTGTCATGCTTTTTACCGTCCTCAAAATCAGGGGTCCCCAACCTTTTTTGCCCCACGGACCGGTTTATGTCAGACAATATTTTCAGGGACCGGCATTTAAGGTGTGGCGGAAATAATACAACAAAATAAGATGGTATGAGCTGCATGAAAACTGTGG